TAGGAGACAACTCTTACAAGTTTCACTCCTCTCTTGAATGATCAACACTTAGAAAGAAAGAGGAGAATTCTAGCTTTTACAACACTTTAAGGCCTCAAAGACTCAAGATTAAAGCAAGTTTTCGTTACCCTTTCATATAGGAAAGGGTGGGATTTTTATAGGCCCCAATGAGTTTGAAAATGGAGCATGAAAGTGTCTATTCTCAGATTTCCGGGGTCCTGGCGGTACCACCGTTATTACTGGGCGATACTACCACCTACCATCTGACATTATGCGGTACTACTGCCTGACAGCGCTTGAAGACTGAGCTCAGGCGGTACCACCGCCTGACAGGGGCGGTACCACCGCCCAGAATTCTTGGGAGACCGAGTCTCCTAGGCGGTGCCACCGTCGGCCCTGGCGGTGCCACTGTCAGCCCTGGATCTGGATCTTGACTCAAGCACAACACCTGCTGCATGTCTTATTGCCATCGTAGTTAATCCTGCACACTTTTCTCAACATATAGATTAGATCAACAAATGACAATTGACTTCATCATCAAAATTTGAGATTCAACAATCTCCCCCTATTTTATGATGACAATCAATTAATGACAAAGTTAACCTTAACTCCCCCTATCTATATATTGAGAAAAGTCATTCTTGAATTCAAAGCCTTTGAATTCAAGAGACATATTAATAAGTTAAGTTCATTTAAACTTATCAATACACCCATCACGATTCCTATCATGATGTAACTTTCTGAAAATGATGTCAAGGCATGACATCCATTTTCAGGTCTTATATTTCAAATATGAAGGATAACAATCATAGCAATTCATTCTATGGCAAGATATCAATTTATAAAATTACAAGTTAAGCTCTAGATATCTTATCATAATGCAAACATTTAAGTGTAAAATTGCATCAACAATTTATCATCAATTTACCACATATTTCTCTCCCTTTGTTATCAACAAAAAGGAGAGCGATTCAACAATAAATACAAGTGTGGTAAAAATTCATGTCATAAAAAAAATCGTACCAATCATATTTCAAACATTCATGACATTGTATCATTCAAAAGTTCTCACGTTAAAGAGATAGTTTTCATTACTTATTCTCTTTTATTTATCATCAAAGCTTTGCATGAAGGAGGAAAGTAAGCAGAAAAAGCCATTAAGAGCCAACTTTGAATTAAGTTAAAAACGATAAGAGATTTTCGAAGGGCTCCCCATAGTCCGACAATTTGAGCACTGATTCTTTCAACACAGCAACCTTTAGATCTTGGAATGCAACTTCACATTTGTCTGACCATCTCTAAGGTTGCTCCTTCTTTAGCGACTCTGCTAATGGAGTTGCGCGCTTTGAATACCCAACTATGAAGCGCAAATAGTAGTTGATGAAACCAAGGAAGGATCTTAGCTCCGGTACCTTCTTTGGAGTTCGTCATTTTGCAACAGCTTACACCTTTGATTTGTCCATATGAATGGAACCATCGCCGATTCGATGCCCTGAGAATAAGATCTTCGTCTGCACAAAGTAGCACTTCTCCCTTTTCATGAACAAAGTGTTCTCCCTAAGAACATTAAAAATTGTCTAAAGGTGCTTGATATGCTCCTCGAGCGTTTGGCTATATATGACAATATCGTCCAAGTAGACGACCATAAACTTATCCAAATACTCCTTAAATAGTTGATTCATAAGAGTATATAATGTGGCTGAAGCATTGGTTAAGCCGAAAGGCATCACCAAGAACTAAAACGCTTTATACCTGGTCGCGTAAGTAGTCTTCGTTTCATCGCCTTCAGCAATACGCACTTGCCAAAACCTCAATTGGAGGTCAAGTTTGGAGAAATACTTTGCCTAGTTGGTCGAACAAGTCCGCGATGAATGGAATGGAATACTTGTTCTTCACTATCACCTTATTGAGGGCTTAATAGTCGACACATAGTCGAAGGCTCCCATCTTGTTTCTTTTGGAAGAGAACTAGAGCTCCGAATGATGCTTTGGAACTACGGATGGGACCACCACATAGTAGTTCATCTAACTACTTTCTTAGCTCTGCCAACTCTAAAGGAGGCATGCAGTATGATGGTCTCACTAGAGGCATCACTCATGGCTCCAACTCGATATGATGATCCACGCTTATATGTGGCGGTAGAGTCTTCGGTAACTCGGGTGGCATAACATCTGTGAACTCCTTCAGAATATTCGCCACCACAGCAAGTTCATGAATGGCCTCCTCATCGAGTGGCTCTAGCTTCACAACAACCATGAATATTAATTCATCTTTTCATACCCCTTTCTTTAGTTGTAATATCGATATCTGTTAGGGTCTCTAGTTCCTCTCTAAGAGACGGGAACCACATAGGGGTCGTCATCTCCCATTATACATAGGGAGTTTAGGAATAACATTGGCACTAACTTTGTCGCATGCATGAATTCTATTCCAATAATCACTTGGAAGTCGTCCAGTGACATCGCCATCATGTTTGTGCTCCCGCTCCATGTTCTGATCTTGATGGGAACTCCTTTTGCCAACCCAAAGATTCGCTTGGCCTTTGAGTTCATCGCCTTCATCTGACTTGGGTTCTTCTCAAAGATCAACCCAAGTCACTTTGCTTCTCCATTGACAATAAAGTTATGGGTAGTGCCCATGTCTACCATTGCACGGGTCGTTTATCCATTAAGCTTAATGTCAACATACATCAGCTTGCTGCTCCTTGTTTTTTGTAGCTTTGCTTTCATGTTCTTCCCCTCTTGACCCCGCATAGCATTCAACAAACGTATTACTCCCATTCGGGGTCCTTGCAACTTCTCATCATCACTGCTGGATTCTGAACTACTCAAACTAAGAGCAATAGCATTGCCCTTGTCCGATTTTAGGGGATGGATAGATGTTGTTAAGGCATTGAGTACTTGTTTCTGTGAGCACTCTCTCACCATGTGCGACCCTCCGTACAATAGGCATCCGCTAGGTTTTGGGGCCTTACCTTTTAAGCTTGGCCCTTTGTGGGAACTCTTCTTCCTTTGTTCGCCCCCGTGCTCCCTCCCTCGAGAATATTTTTTAGGGCGGTTTCCTAAAGATTATACCCTTTTCCCTGAGTCCTCCAAGGAAATAAAGTCTGTGAGCCTTTTTGCAGGCGTAATTACCCCGATCACATTGGTGACATTCCTTCGATGCAGTTTTTGTTGATCCCATGGCTTCAAACCATCGAGGAAGCTAAATACTTATCCTTCTTGGACATGTCCTGTATGTCCAGCATTAGTACAAAAATTTGTTTCACGTAGTCTCACTTTGGTGGAGTTGTCTAAGTTTCCTTCTTGTGATGAACTCTATGTTCTCGGGTAGGAACTGAGTTCTCAATTCCTGCTTTAAGTCCTCCCAAGTGTCCACCCAACACCGACCTTGTTGGATCTCCTCCCAATAGGTTCACCAACAAAGTTTGGCATCCTCATTCAAATACATGGTTGTTACCAAAACTTTAGTTTCTTTATAATCAGGCCTCGTAGCTCGGAAGTATTGTTCCATGTTGAACAGAAAATTCTTGAGCTTTTTAGCATCTCGGGTACCCCTATAACAATCTAGCTCGGGTGCTCTCAAGTTTTATGGTAGTGCAATGCGGGTGTTGCTCCCTCCCGTATTTAGTGCCCTTGTGATCAATGTCACTTTGGAAGTGAGTTCCACCATGACTTCGTGCAGATGTTGCATGGAGTCTTGGGTATCGTCCGACAATCAATCGACTAGGGGCTTCAATATAGTATCGAGCGTTGAACAATCTTCACAAGTTCGCGCATTAAATTGACGGGAACTTGCCTTCATGACTAGCACCTAATGAGCAGTTGTTTGTGGACTTGCAAATATTCATTCAACCTTCTAAAATCATTGTTTTCTCCTTCCTCTCTTTTCTCTCCTGCATGCAAGGTGCTCGTTGAATTGTTTGTAAAGCTTTCCTTTTCGCGAGACGTCGGAACTTGTCTACCGATCGTTTTCAAACTAATTAACTTTCTCTTTTACAGGTTCTTTGAAACCTGAGTGAGGTTACAAATTGGCTAACCCTTTACGGATGCATATCACAAGGGTACATCATGGCTTAAGCAATCCCAACTAAGTCCGAGAAGTTAGCACAAGTGTGCTTCATGACTTAGGCAACTCAAGCTAAGTCCGTGACTTTGTCGCAAGGGTGCTTCACGACTTAGGCTATTCCACCTAAGTTCGTGACAGACTAGCAACCCTCCACCGATGAATCAGGTATAAAAGTCAGCCCTCGAAACCAGATGGGGCAAGCAGGCTCATCCTAAACTCTTCTAAGCTCTACTAAACCCTCTCCGACTACTCTAATGACTTAGGCATCGAAGGGATCAGGTCGAGAAACTGCCTGACATTGACCATTTGTGCAGGACCCTAACGTGTCTAAGAAGTACCTCGGGGTAATGTAGAGTGTTTTCAGACAAAAACCAAAGTACACCTCGGGACGTTCCCGAGTTTTTTTCAACAGACTAATCGTACCTTGAGACAACCATCGGTCGATCTCCGTGAGCCAACAAGACACCTGTCACCCTAGCCTCCCATACGAATCATACCCACGTAATCTGTATGAGTTTCTCGGATGGGTCCACGTCTTTATGATAAAACCAGGCCAAGTTAACTATCTGGTCAATGGCACTAAGGCAACAACACATATCACGTAACCATATATAAAACGAGTATTCTTCAATGATATTACAGAGATGTTACAGTGTTCAATGTTCTTATTATTCAGATAGATGATGACTTACTCCAGACGTAAAAGACTGACGCCCAAGTATAATATTGGAACTTCTCATTGTCGCAATGCAATATGCTTTCAATCCTAGCCTTCGAAGAGGTATGGGAAAGGAAACAAATAGTGGACTGCTGATATCAGAATCAACATCATAATATACAGCACACAGGAATCCAAACAATTTTAAGCTTTTACTGAAGCATGTAAACTGCGATGGAGACTGGGAGCAGAGATGATAGAAGTGACATCAAGTTCATCTTGCTGATGGACCATCTTTGTCTGAAATGCTTGCACATTCGATCTCAAACGTACTGATCTGGTGCATCTCAACATGTTCTTTAAGTCGTTTCAGAGTGTTTCTGTCTTCGAGTTTGGTCTCATCAAGATTACTCTGCAGTGCCAACCTCTCTTTCAGCTGCATCACCACCTCCGTCATCGTCGGCCTCTTGGTGGAGGATTGCATGGCACAATTGAGAGCTACGTAGGCAATCTTCCAAGCACAATTCACATCATACTCACCTTGCAGGCTTTTGTCGACGACGTCCTCTACGTTCCCCTTCGCAAGCCTTTCGTAAACCCATTCAACTATGTGAATATTTTCTGAACCAATTAGGATGGGAGGTTGGCCT